TCCATTTTTTATTTGCTTTTTTAGCTTTCGGGGGGATATTTTCTTCCACAGCTTCCATTATTGAGTCTTTCATTTTCCTCCATAGTTCTTCCGATTTAGTAGTTTTCCAAAGCTTGAAATGTATTTCTTACATCTATGGAGAAACGTTCTTTCATTTCTTGATTTGTCTTTAAAAGACCTATGTCAAATTTATGTTCATACTTTGACTTTTTGAGTTTCTTTAGTCGTGTAGTAGTTATGAGTTTTGTCGTAGCAAACAGAAAACCCGAGTTTGGCTCTCGTGGGGTGATAATTTTTATTGAGTATCTCAGTCTTTCTGCTGGGACGTTGTATCCCTCTCATCCCCAGTGAACCTTGACAGGCAGGGTCGAAATCCGTCTCTTAAATGATCTAAATCGTGTCGATGGAGGCGTAAAAAAACACTTGTTATAGTTTCTTTTCCTTTTATCGTGGCTTATGACTGACATGCACCTTGCACTACTTGGGCTTGAAACCGACAGATCGTGGGTTCGAACCCCATCAGGGACCAGAAATTGTGTCCGGGCTATAGACAGTGATATATCTTGTCAGTTTGTTAGTGTTTAAGCACAATGGATACATTATGAACTTGAGAATAAGAGCACTGTGAATAAGAAGCATTGACTAACAAAATGGCATTTCATAAGATTTTGGTTTTAATACATGAATTTTGAAATTTTGGAAGCGCTATTTATAATAACAATACTAATTCACGTTACGCACTGGTTGCCTCTTAGGGAGTGGTAGTGGACAAAGAATTCGTGGCGCTGCTTGAAGAGATACAGAGAGATCGTTTCTTTATCGTCAACTATGACGTCTCCTTGCCTGTCGCCAAAATGTCCAGGGAAGAGATGAGAGAGAAAATAGGACTACCCAGTGCCTACAATATTGACCCCTTGAGGATGCTTTACTTACTCAAGGTTTGTGTGAAAAAAGACGTATCAAGGTTTTTAGTTTAGACAAAGATCGCACGTAACAAGATAGTTCACTCAGCCAAAAAAAGTGTCTGCGGAAGTCCGCGCATTGGTTCAGATGGCGCTGCAGTCTTTGTTTTGAAGCCCTCTTTTGTTTCTCAAGAAAAATAATAGGAATGGCTCAGTTTGTTAGTTTCACTTTTATTGTTTTTCACACGCAGGGTAACTCTGATCGCAAAGTCCGCTTTTTTCGAAGAGAAGCCATCGAATTTTGAGGACACTTTTTAATTGGCTCAAAGAGAGGAGTGAATTATCTTGATATGTACGATCTTTGGTTTAGATTATAACTATAATTCAGTTGCTCAGAGCAAGACTCCGACATACGTCATTTTTCAAAATGGCAAGTGGCAGAGTCTTACTCTTACCCTAAGCAGTTGAATTGCTGCTCCTCACCACATTACACGAAGGCACATTGAAAGCTCAATTAGCATCACGCTGGATGGCTCTGGTTCATATCCTAAAAGAGGCGTGGTTAGAGAGGATGTTTTGGACATTTTCATGGTTCTTCAGAAAATTGAATCTGTCTTATCAAAGTGAGAGATATAAGTAAAATCGGAGCTTCCCAAGTGCTAAGATATGTCTGTCATTCACGGCATTGGTGGATTAAGCCACATGTAGTCTCTTTTAATCATAATTTCTACATACTTATATACACTGGAAAAGGATGGTGGTTTGCTCCTAGTTACCGCTCTAAGCTTACTCACTTATAATGATATCGACATAACTGGGTTAAAATGCCGTAACACTCTTACTTAAACTAAACTAAAACTAAACTGTCCACAGCTAACACATTCTGACAAGAAATGATATAGCTTAGCTTGAAATTCTATGTGATGCTTTCAATTGCTAAATCCCAAATGCGTTCTTGATATTTTGTTTATCGTCAGGAAAAGATGAGAGCGTCTGACTTTTTCTACAAGATCAACAAAGATCATGACGACGGTCTGCAGAGAGACGAACTTTACTCTCTGTTTGATGTGAGGAGAATTCTTTTTTCTTTTAGGGGGGATGGGGGCTTATTAATTGGACTTACAATTTTTTTAAAGGGGGGGGGGGGGTGGAGATTTTTTTCCTTTAGTTTTAGCTAGTCATCAGCATAGTATGCTGCATACTGTGAGTGGGTGGTGGGATCTCTGGTCTGGTTTGCTCCTTTTTTTTTTTATTAAACATCTGTTGGGCTAGTCTCTCCTCTTTCTTTTCTTTGTATGATACTTTCTTGTCTAGTATAGCACGAGTGCTATGATGACCTTGTCATGACCTATTGTTTTTTCAAGTACCGCGAAACAATAACTAAACTTGTTTTTGAACCCACTGATGCATGGAGTTTATTTTCAATGAAGATCACTGGGTTGAATGACAAGAGTAAAAATTAATAACGAAGGAAAAAAGGGGTTGGGGGGGGGGGGATTACGATCAACAACATTACTCCTAGCCTCTTGAACAATAGCACAAGTGAATCTTGTTGTTGGCATAAATGACACATGACTGCAGCATTGAAGAGTCTAAATTTTAATACCCGTTCAGGAAGCTGGTATTCCAGTCACCGGGAGTGTTGTGGACAAGATCTTTGACTTTATGGACACAAACGGAGACGGCACCATCGACCTAGGGTAAGATGATGATTTATTTTGCTTCAATTAAAACTAAAAAAGAATTATACGTAAAATGCACAACTTGCTTGTTTTCTCGAAAGGCTTTATATTTCCGGTTTAGTCTTACGCATGAGTTGAACGTCTAAAGGCAGCCGTTATTTCGTTATAGCTTTGTCATAATAACCAAACATTTTTTCTATCCATCTTTATTTTGCCACGATTTAGTATTTTCTTTATTTTGTCATCATCAAGCTTTTTTTTTAGGTTTTTAAAAAATGATGTAACATTTTCCCTATAGCCCTTTGTTTTGTCACAACCATTGAGTTATTGTTTCCTCTGTTTCTGTTTATTTAATGTTGTCATGATCTGACGTTTTCTCTGTTTCCCTTTATTTGATTTTGTTTTGACTTAACTTTAAAAAAAATGATTGTCTTTTTCCCTTGGCAGTGAATTCCTACAGGGAGACAAACGAATAAAGAATATATCCCGGAAGCAAATCCGCGACGAGCAGGAGAAGAGAAGTAAAGACTCCAACTACTCCAAGTATTCTAGAACCTTCCAGAAAGCTCACATTGACCCGATAACTTTGGCACTAAAGGTACGGTTCATTATGGGTTACGTGACAATTGTTCTGCGCCTAGATCAGAATGTGAAATAATCAGTGATAATGTTTGACTCCGACACACACACCCCCTCCCCACCTCCTTTTCCCTTTCCCTTTCCCTTTCCCTTTCCCTTTCCCTTTCTCTCTCTCTCTCTCTCTCTCTCTCTCTC